GAAGGCAGCTAGTCATCACCACCCACCGCCAACTCTTGGGCTACTCTTTTACCAACGAATAGTGGGATTGACCGCACATTATAACGCCCCCACGGCTGAAAGGGCGAGCATGTTTGGTGTGACAGGGAGTCGAACCCGGGACCCTCAGATTGCGAGTCGAGTGCCTTAACCACCTGGCCATGCCGGGCAACTCACAAGTAACTTGATCTTTAGCCGATTTTACAAGCTAGTTGCACAAAGGAAAAACCCTAGTAATCAAAATATAAAAGTATGTCCAAATTAAACTTCATAGCAGTCTTGAATTCTAGTGAATCTTACTTGCTTCTTACCAAGTGATTATTTCACAACTGATTAAATAGTAAGAGAGTTTTACTTAGTAATCATAAGCCATTTTACTCGCTAATATTTGATCATTTTTGTTAAGTAGTTGTTTAAAGAGGTAGTGAGATATGACACCTTCCTTTCCTATTAACAGTCAACATGTCAGATTGCATAAAAATTAATATTTATAAGACAAATAAGAAACCATTTCTTGTTTTATTCTAATGACTTCTTAAATAAACTGTCAAAAATATATATTTGGTTATCACCATTTATTACCCTTTACGTAGTTTTTGTTCTACTTTTCCAAACTGTCAACATCAACTTAAATCTTTTTTCACACAACATATTTTGCAACCAAAATTATTACATAAAAAAATGATTTGTTTTTCTACAATAAATACAAATTTATACTTAAAAGGTAAAACGAAGGTATCATTATATTGTTTCAATATTTTATTCATTTTTACCAGTTTAGATAATCATATTTAGTGAAATAAGCTAGACGTTGTCTTAAATTGATTGTATTATATCTGACTTAAAAAAGTTTTGCTGTGAGACAAGGTTTAATCAGGAAATAAATCTGCGGTAGAAATAATCCTAGTTCATACTGGTTAGTGATTAACTGCTATTTTACTAGAGGAAATAAAAAATAGTTCTACAAGGTGTCGTGAAATAATAAAATATAAGAATGGCCAGTAAATCTTAATAAAACAAAATATAACAAATAAAGATGACAACGAGACTATACAATGATTATTCTTTTCAACTTTCTTGAGTGACAAAATGTGTTACGTTCAAAGTTTTTATTTAAACAAGTGATTATCTATTACAGTTAATTTTAATTCTGAAAAGCTTTTATCGTAGATGCAACAGTCACAGATATGGCAAAAAGTATTTTAAAACACAGATACATTTGAAACAATCCTCGCAATTTCTTTGCTCATAAATTCAAGTGAATTGACCAAATTCATGATGTTACAGCCACATGGAATGTAAAGAAGTGCGGGAATTTTCTTTAATACCCATAATCGCACTTATTGGTGTTGCACCTTCATGTTGGCCCAGTTTTCATAGTCCTTACCTCGACAGTCTTTAAAGTGATTCGAGTATGGGTATTGATTAGATTATTGTGACAATACGTTCAAGGATTTCTCCATTGCTGTTTCTGTGTGGGTACTGTTACTCATTTTCTTTATCCACCACTGTGTATTTGTAAAAACATATTTGAGATCGTGTCATTTCGACATATTTTCGTAATGAGGCTCTGAACATACACATCCGTTAATCAGAAAATCCTTCATTTCAAAGGGACATATCAGAGGTAGTGAAGAGGCTACAGAAAAAGTGGCACGCTGCATTTTTAATTTTCGAGTAGATAAACCATGTCTTCTTACAACTTTAAAATTTCTTTTATATTAATTACAAATATAAATCTCCATGTCTTGTTTAAACATAAAATTTTCAATATGAACAGGTCCTTTTTCTAATTAAGTAATCATATATTCTTAAGTTAAACATTTCATGCAATGAACCTTTCTTCATTTTTGAGTTAGGAATCGTGCGTGGCCTAGTGGTTAGCGTACTTGGATTGTGAATACGAGGGTTCATGGTGCGTTGTCGCGAAAACGTGCTCAGCACTTTGAAGTCGTAGGTCTGTTATAAAAGTGACTATTAAATTCCAATATTCGGTCAGACAAGAATAGTTCGAGAGTTCGCGGTTGATACTGTTGTCTGATTGCTTTCTGTTTATTATATCAGTTCAAAATTATGGACGCTTTAGCACTGTTAACCCTTTGTATAGCTTTGCACGAAAATTCTGAAACAAACAAAAGTTTTTTGACGTGAAAGCCTCCTTCTATAAAATGTTTGTTTTCTGTAACGATACTTGCTATCAGCTTTTTCACATTTTATCAATTAAATTTTCTTTGTGTGAATTTATCCATTGTTCTCCTTTGGCTAACAATTAATTCTCGTGTTTCCTCTTCTTTATTTTTCAGAACCACTGGTGATTTTCCTAAACTTATCACTATATCCACTGTTTCTTCCCATTTTCTACAATTGCACTGTTCTATTACACTTTTTCAAGACATGTGGCCTAGTGATTAGGTATCGGACTGGGAAATCCGAGGGTTTCGGTTCGAAACATGATGCTATGAGCGCGTTATAAGAATAACATTAAATCTTGATATTAATGACAATAGTCGCTTTAGATGGCGGATGCTGCCAGCTGGTTGCTTTCCATCTGGTCCACAGGTGAAAATTCATAACGGCTATACCGGAAAATAGGTGCACTGTGAACAAATTAACAAAGAATATATCTATCGTGTATCTTTTATTACTATACATGTACGTTAACTTTGAAGTCAAACTCACATACGACTCCTCACTTAAGTCACAGCTTCACTCCATATAATTCAGTTACTGATAATAAAATAATTACAACATTAAATAATTAGCAATGTTCTGCAACCATCATAATTTGCTAACTTATTACCGCTTAGAGTCACTTTGGGTTTCTGCGTTCCTTTATTTATCTCTAGAGATCTTCAGTATCTTTAAACTTAAACAACTAAACTTTATTGACATAACTATTATAACATTATAGAAACGGAAGTTTCTTGGTCACGTGGATCTAGATGTTGACCATGCAATTGGTTCATCAAAGAGAGGGTTGCATTGGGGGTGTTTTATTTGTGTCTATGTGCCTGGAATTGTAAAAAGGTATTTTTTTAGTTTTCTGAATTTATTATTACACATTTTGTATCATACGCTATGAAGTGATTTTCTTTTTTATTTCATATTATTATTCCATTATTACAATACAACCCAGTGTTTTTATTTTTGGTATGAACGAGTTCCCCTTAAGTGCGAGACCATGTGTGAGCTCACCAGTGGCACGTGCCTCACGTCTGCCCTGGT